TAATTCAGTTACACCGTCGCGTTAAATTTGAGATGGAAATCGCTGATATATGCATCGAGAAGCGCTGCAGAATTAAAAAGATCGAAATGCTAATCTAGCAAATAAGATGAACGCTCGGATTAAGGAACGATCTCAAGGATTAAACTCTCTCCTCGAAAAGCTCGATGGCAGATAGACTACAAAAATGACACGGAGGGAACAGAAAGAGTTGGCTACGGCGTGCGGCGTCCAGGTGGACAGGTTAAAAAGCGTCGAAGCGTGTGGTTCGCAAACCGGTTCGGATCGATGAGGTCCACAGGTGCCAGACCTAGTCTCATCCGCGCAAGCGTTCCTCTCGCACCCTCTCATGCTTTTGTCCTCTCTCCTCCACACGCCGCCCAGCTTTCCAACCCCTCAGACTCTCCTCCACCACAACTCCATCGTTTTAACCCTCTCCCTCCTCCCGTTCACTCGACGTTTCTCCAGATCTGTCCTTTACTACCCAGATTTCCCTCTACGTGCAATGTGCATACCAACCGCAAAACGCGTGAAGCCGAGATATCTGCGTAAGTTACGCATGGAACGTGCGAACTAACGAATTACACGTGTTTGGTAAACATCCGAGGGGATTATCAGCGGATTAGGATTTCACGGGATTGATGAAATCATGAGAATTAGCGGATTTGGATGAACTTTGAGAGATATATGTTCGAATCCTCACGTTTCCGAAACTTGATATGAGAGTTGTTTCTGATAAAGGAGAGAAAAGGTCGAAAAAACTTGCGAAATTAAACCTTATCGTATTAATACAAAGGGCCGGAGAAAAACTTCTGAAGATATCTAGAGAAAAGATTTATAGAAGATTATATAATATGTACAGGAAGAACCCTCAATATCCACACGATACTTCTTTCTTTCGAATTTTTATGATTATTTGGGTGATAAAAACGGCCAATTCTGGAGTGATGCGCGAATTCGTTGTTTTATTTCAATCGAGTCGCGAATTACATCGTTTTTTCGCCCGTATTGGTTTCATCGAATATTTCACTGAATTTTCATCGTTCCAAAAAAATATTTTCAAAATTAATTTGACCGACTCTCGACATCAAATATCGCGACGCAATTTGGCTCGCGCGTGAACAATTACAAGCTCTCATGAGCGTTGCAAGCGTAACAGCTGGCCAAGCTGCAAACTCATCTGTAAATGTCTGCACAATGAGCGAGAAAAAGTTAATTAAGGTTGACTGGTTTTGCGGCCACTTGCCGCCGTCGTGGCGCATCCGCTGTTCCTCCACTGGCGCAAGTGAAACTTTCCTCGCTGCCGCGACACGCCTGTGTAAAGAAGTTTGATAAAGGGAGCTAACCCCTTTGTACACCGAACCATTAATAATTTCAGCTTCCGGAACATTAGACAAGTAAAATGTTGGTCATTATATAATCATCTTTTCCTAATATCCTTCAAAGTACCTTCAATAAATACATTCTTCGTAACAATATTAATTTTCAATACTGATACTGCGGACATAAATCCACTTTATAGATGGTTTATCGAGCTTCCCAAGCAATTTGAATGTTTGCAATTTTTATCCAAAGGTAATATTACTTTTCAAACTAAACAGATATTTTCGCAAATTTGCGATAACTTTTTTTCTTTGCATTTTGAGAGGAAAGACATGCGTGTTTAGATACGTAACTTAATCGGGTATATTCAACTGTACTTCCATACATCTAGCATATCAAATTCTGAAAGAGTATTTTCTCCCTTGGGACGTGAAAGCACCGACGGAATTTACAAACGGTGTCAGAGTTAACATTTTTCGCATGTCGCGTGTATTAAAAAGACGATGAAATTCGCTCGCCTTATTCTTATGAGTTTCTGAAATACGAACAAAATTTATGGGACGCGCGGCATTTTCATAACGTTACGTGCGTTAATACCGTAAAAGTTCATTCTTACATGGAGCTCCTTTGATTGCATGTCGTCAAGGAAAAGAAAAAGTGCAATATATCGCGAGAGTCATATTTAATTAAATTCTTCTTTTTCTTAGAAACGCTGGATGGACGATTAATTAATGGTAATAATATAATCGCCGTGAGTGTCTGTAATTTAATATACTAAACTTTTTTGTTTAACGTTACTTTTATTACGAAAGCTCACGAAAGTTTCAGTTTACCATTCATAGACGCAACGTGTTGCATACAAGCATCATAACGTGGGCAATATTACGTTCGACGTTATAGTATTCTATTAATACCGATCACGAACATAATGAAAATCAATGATATCTAATGTTTAGTCGATATTAATCGTGAGAAACGGAAATTGACGGAAACATTTGTTTTATTTTGATGGATCTATTGTGCGGGCGATTAATTAGACTCAATAATACTAAATTTATATTATATTATATATATAATTGAGCTCCAGTGAGGAATATTATGTTTTTAATTACACGGGTTAACAAGTTGCTTCGATCGAACTGAATACGAGCAGCACGCGATAAAATTTACAGTCCACGCAACCGTCACGGCTTATCGTGTAAGAAAAATAATGGATATCGATTTACGACAATGATAAAATCGATGGAAAAAGATACGAGGTTTTGTCTCAAGAATACAAAAATTCTCGGGAACGAAAGCATGAGAAAGATATCCCCCGTGAATTACTCCGAAAATTGACTGACGGAAAGAGGTTGATTCAAGCAGAAAACGTCGTAACATGAGAAATCACTCACGTCGCTCTTGAATCACTCGCTTTGGACGAGAGTAACGTCGGACTACTCTCTAACAATGCCGCACAAAAAGATTCAGACGTCAAGAAATTCCGGGGAATTGGAGCGCAGAGAACTCTATAGCCTCTGGGAATGGTCGGAAGAGAAGTCTTCTGCAACATTATTAGTCTTACAGAAACGTTAATCTTATTACATTTATGATTGATCGGAAGGTTCTCGAAAAAATGTTGGCAAACGCCAAACTCATAACATGTAATATTTATTGGATGTGATGTGATATTTATTGGAACGGCCATGTGGTATATGTATGTCACGAAGTAATGACGTAAATACCGTTTTCCCCTTTCCTTACAAAACAAAAGAATATTATGCTAATTATGATTTTGTATGTAAAAATGTTTATTTTGTCGTTAGATGAATTTTCTAATTATACATTCTATTGTTTTTGTAGCACAATAATACGTTTATTTGCTAGCAGCATCATAACTAATTATAAAATTCGCGACATTTTTCCGTTATATTTTCCTCAAACATCGACGTTCACTTTAGAGAATATTGGCTTAATGTCGCTACCAAGCATCGCTGAATATTCATAAAACGGGCATATGACGTGAATTAGCTGGTCTACAATTTGCGCTCATATGCACGATCGATCCGTTTCGCCTGTGGCTACGCGTGTCATAAATTAATGGACGAATCCCGGAGTCCTTCCCTTTCGCAGCACGTCTCGGAACCCTCAACCTTAATCTTATTAATAGATTCTTCTCTAATCAAATTGCAACATATGTTCAAATATAATACAATTAAATAACGTTATTATTCGCTGGGATATCCAAAATTTTATTTTCGTAATTCAATTATTAATAAATTTAGTATTAAAAATTTACGAGAAAGACTCGCTGCTTTCGTCTAAATTATTTGTAAAAAGAATTCCAAATTTAGTAAAAAAAAATCTGTCGCTAAAATTAAGGTCGACTCGAACGCTTCGTATAAAAACGTTGGTCAACAAGGAAAAACGTGGCATACAGGTTGCCGTCATGCGTTCTACCCTTTTTACACGTCGACGAAAAGCTTGTTCAGTAAATTAATTCGTTTTAGAAAATTGGATTGGACTCGGTTGAGCGTGACGATTTTTTTTGAATTAACAATCCCAGCAATGTCACCAGAAACGTACGAGGTATATATTTTGTTTGCCGAGTAGTTTTTCGTTCGAGCTTATCGTCGCTAATTATCTAACATGAAATCGGTGAGATTAATGGGGAAACCCCATTATTCACTCGCTTTATCCGCGAAGAAGTTAAGAGACATAAAAGTCGATTTTAATTACTTAGGGATCTACATGTGGCTTTCGTCGAGTAAAAACTTAAGTAACTCAGAAATTAAAGAATAATCTCTTTATCCGAAAAGATTACGCTACTTTATGTATTTTTTTATTTCTATTATGATGTGAAGAAATTATTTTATTTTATATATCTTTTTATTTCTATTCCTTTTTCTCTTCTTTGTCTTTTTTCCGACAATTTTACTGATCAGTAAATACGTAAAAATTTTGTTGCCGAATTCTGCGAACATAAGCAACATATGTAGTTGGCACGCGATGCATCTGTCAAATCATCGATCTCTCTTGTCGTCACTTTATCGCGAAAAAACGCATAGAGAGCGTTTCGTGATCGAACCAGGGACAAAGGAGTCACGTCGCTAAACTCTCGGCAAGAAGGAACAGAAGTCTGCTCGTAAATTTCTACAACGTCGCTCCCAACGACGACGCTGGCGACTATGACTCGCCGTTTCACGATTTTACGAGCGACTGGAAGGGAAACTTTAAGGCTCACTGACGCGCGAAGAATAAGACCAAGGTGAACTCATATAAGACGTTTCAAAAATTATATATCCGAATGTTATGTTTAATTTAACGTAGATTGTACATATTGAAAATATAGATTACTCAACCGGGACGTTTCATGGATATATATATTCCAAATATAATATTATAAATATATAACAAAATATGTGAAATATTTCGTAAAATATTAAAAATAATGATATTCAATGAGTAGAATGTCTAAAATCGACGCATAAGATATTTCATAAAGAATTCTGAAAGATATCTTAAAGTTGTCTTATGCGTCGATTTTAGACATTCTGCTCGTTGGGGGGTTATAGCCTACGTTAATTTACTGCGTTCGAAAATCTAATTTCTTCTCCCAGTAAAATCTGCCATTTTAATTTGTTTGTTTTGGAGTAATTAATCGTTTGCATGTGTGAGCAATGTCCGAAGTCAATACTCACCGAGTATGGTGCCAACGCTGTTGGCTATCGCCCCGGAAATAGCACCGTTCGCCAACGCATCCAGGCAGGCGCTAAGGGCGCACGCACACGCACTCGTACCTATAAGGTACTCCAGCACCATGTTCCATCCAATAATGAATGCTATTAATTCGCCTACTGTCACGTAACTGTACATATAAGCGCTGCCGGTCGTATGAGGCACTCGTACTCCAAACTCGGCGTAACACGCCCCTGTAATCACACACGGAAGAAGAAAAGATATTCAGTCACGAAGGACGAGTACGTGGAAGGAAAGAGGAAATTATTCAAAAATGGCACCTACATCACTAAATCTACGCGTTAAACACGTCGAATGAATAAAATTGCAAGATCGGAAAATACGCGAAAATTTTGCTGGCGAATTTCGCGAATATGAGCAACGCACATCATTCGCGCACGGACGAATACAGTTTGGCGATAAGCTAGAGAAAGATAAAAAATATAAACGAATGTTTGACGGATTTATGAAGTAAGAGAAAAAAACAATCTTATTTTTCCAGACCGTCGAAGCGAATCTTAATAATATTTATATATGTAGATTTTTACAAATACATTTTTTCAATTTCTGTAAATTACACGCCGATTCATTTAAAACGCAATCATGAACTAAAGTTGGAAATAACATCTTAAAATAAATTATATTAATCGTCAATTAAATTAATGACGCTAACGAACATCTTAAAATACTTCAAAAACTTTTTTGCGAAAAATATTACCTTAGCCAGAGTTTGAATCCAAAAACTCCTGACTTTCCGAGATGAATGTCTTATCAATTCGATCATTTATGTGGAGATTGTCGCAATAACTAATAATTAGAGAAAGTCATTTTTCAAGGTTAAATAAACAATTATAAGTGGAAATTAAGAATAAATCAAATAAAAGAAAGAATTCTATTTTTGATTAAAATGGATCTTGTTTAATAATATTCATAGAATTTACAAATACATTTTTTTTTAAATACAGTTTTGTAAACTGCGCGTCGATTTAGTTCGTCGAATTTTTTTCAATTAAAGATTTCACGAATTTTCACAGTGGCTACATGATAATTTTGTTGCTCTGGATTTATTTGTTTTTTCCTGTTGCTACCTAAAACGAATTATGCACTTGCACATTGTGGCGTGACAGAATATTACCTTCGCTACCGACTATCATCGTGCTTTCGTAATCGACTGATTAAACCGGTTCAACTTTTCAACGTGAATTACATCGTAAGACAGATCCCCTGTGCTCAACCTGCGCTAACATAAACGCTATAATCCGCTTACGTCTTTTCAGAATCGTCAGAGACGGATGTTGTGTGTCCAGTTCAACGATATTAATAGCCCCGGCGGTTGAATTAGGAAGACGCCTGCACAGAAATACAGGAGATCTCGGTTCAAATCCCGGCTGGAGGATTTGAACCCCCCATATGTAATATTTTTCGCAATAAATTATTTACAGCTTTTGGGATGCTTATTTGCGTCAAATTATTAACAGCTTTCTAAGACGCTTATTTGCAGTAATAATATTAAATTACTTGCCAATTTAATCAACACGCCGAATCGGCGTGTAATTTATAAAATTGAAAAAATGTATAGCTTCGGATTAAAACTGTGTTCTAAATAAATAATTGACGCATAGTTGACTTAAACTGGAAATTGTATAAATTTACAAAAAGTACTGGGTGCCTTCCGTTTAATGCACAAGTCAATACAAGTATCGTTCTGTTTTTGTTATGGAACGCAAAATAAGATAGAATGACATTTTGTCGATTTGTGCCGCTAAATAAAAGATACTTATTATTAAGCACGGAGAACCGTCTTCACCGAATATGGCCTTTTTCATTCATGTGTGTGTTTAATATAGTGTTACGCAAAACAGAATTTGTTCTGTAGAATTACTGCCTCACGTCCTGATTTCGCGTCCACGTGGAACGACAAAGTTACCTTTGACATCAACCGCCCTCGCTATCACTTCTATTTATATATCGACGAAGTCAGCCAGCGACAATGTTAAAGAATCTCCATTGATGGTAAACTCGACATTTATGTCGCGTGGTATTACAAAATGTGCCGCCAAGTCTAAGAAAAGAAAAGACGGCACGAAACTTCGCGGAAGCAAAAGTTTTGGCTCTACTTTCGCGGTTATCGAACGACCAGAAGTGTAAAGCCTATCACGTGTATGTACGACATACATCGAAAGAGAAATCCTATCTTTTTGAATGTCTATTATAGTAGTTGAACGAAAACATAACAAAAGATATATCTATAGAAGGACAAATATGATTAATAACTATTAAACACCTTTCAACACTCAACTTTTTCCCAATGCTTTTTTCCCAATACTTTGCCAATTGTTTATAACTTTTTTACTAATAATTTATACTTTTTTTTACTAATCTTTAGAGAAACAGAGATCCATTTTTAAAATCTTCCAATTTTTCGTTAAGTAAGATTTGTTATAATTTATTATTTCCTAGTGTTTTAGTGTTCCAAAATATGGCACGGTGTTCTATAAAAATTAATAAAAATACATGAATTCACTTGATATTATATCTCTGAATGTCTGGTGTTTTAATTGAAAACAATTTTTTTACAATATGTTCTTTTTTATAAAAGTTATAAGCAATCAAATTGAGTTGGGTATGCATACAATGTACTATTTTCATAGCATTTAAGAGCTAAGTTTGTTGTGAAAGAAAGTTTGACGCAGAAAATTGGAAACTGTACGAGATCACGTCAGACTGCTTTTAATTTGAGTACTCCGCTTCTGATTGAGCCAATTTTTCTCGTGATAGGATGCAGTCACAACGCGTTGCCTTTGGTATCCAATAATTCCGAGATTACGGTACGGTCAACAATGATTGCTATACTATATATGTTATGTGTTCGCCGACAGAGCATTTTTATAGCAACATTCTCCTATTAGCAACGCAACGAATTAATTAAACAACACGCCGCGACTCACCGCGTCCTAGCTTTAATCCTACCATTAATTTACGCGTTGCATCGATCTCTGAATATCCGCACTAATTACAGTATTACTCCATTAAATCGATAATTACCGAAAACGCGGCGTGATCAAACGAGATAACGATTGAGATGTAACGCATTTCTTTCTCGCATGTGCTTTCCATTTAACATCTTAATTTTACTTTTAAAAAATGTCATATCAATAGTACTATTTTAATTAAAAATAATATTGTTGAATCTCATACACACACACACACACACACACACACACACACACACACACACACACACACACACACGCACGCGCGCAATAACACTATTAATGAAACACAAATATGCTCTTTATTTAATGCAATTTTATTTGTTTCATTAATGTTATTGTTAAATCAACAAGATTATTTTCAATTAACATTAATAATATGCTGTTGATACAATATCATTCTTTTTCAGTATAAATTTAATATTTTGATTTATTATTGAAAAATTAATTAATTACTTATTTGGAACATTAGAAATACTAAACAACAGTACTTTTAATATTTAAAGTAAATAATTAATTACTGTCTTCTAATATTAAATTGGCCAATATTAGATTTTTGTAAGGGATATATCTGATAATTCATATCTTTCCATGGTTATAAGAGATTACGGTAGAACAATGATAGTGATAAAAAACTATTTACTTGCATGCATATTCATTATGTCAATTAGAAATACGAACATTTATAATGTAATTAAACTTCCCTACTCTTAACTTACAGAAATCAAGTAATTTATCTGTATATCTGTATATATCTATATCTTTTTTATCTTTTTATAAGGTAATGGCATCGATTAAGATAAATTTGAATTAATCGGTCTTTCTGCAAAGTTAAAAGAAATTCTATCTATAAGTATCAGAGTGGTATCTTTCTCTCTCTCTTCATACAAACGCAATACTGACGCGATTCAACAAAGCGACGAATAGTGTAACTGATCGCATCACGAGGACGCAAACCGCAGCGAAATTACAGACGATAAAGGGATTGGCGAAACAGGCGCGAGCAAAACAAGACTGATTGAGACACGTTCGGTCCATTCATCGCCTCCGTATCAGTAGAAACCATATTCGAAATTTCGCAGCCGGGCAAACATTGCGCCTGCAAGCTGCAACACGCACGGGACAGTTTACGACTACGACGCGCGACGGTACGTTTAGAGCTTCGTATCGCACGATGAATCGTAAATTTCGTTTGACGGATATTTTCCGCGGTTGCTTCGCACGAGTCGCACGATATCGATATTTGGGACAGTCGAACCAGCGAGATGTTATCGATACGATGAACGGAGCTCGGTGTCGAACGTTAAAGTACTTGTAATGGTAAACTAACACGTCGCAATGCAGCACTTGCGCCTGTAACAGTACCTGCAAAGTAAATGTAAAGTATCTCTTGTATATAGTTAAAGTAAACTATTCGCGTAACAGCGCGTCAACTCCGGACATGGTTTCTAATTGTCCCGCTGGTGTCCGATTTCTACAAGAGTTCCTACGCAAGAATAAAAGGAAGATTTTATGTATTAAAATATCCTGTTGTAAAAGAAAAAATAATTTTCGTATATAAATATACTGTAACTGTATGTGTAACTGCAATTGTAATTGTAATTGTAATTGTAAATAATTTCTAACTTTCCGTTGGTCGTGTGAAATTTTGCATCTTTTAGCAACCCAAGTCACATTAAGTTTTAGTGCAGATTTTCATATTGATTTGACAGTACATACAAATCTGAAAAATTTTTTCACATTTGAAAACTTTGACTATAAATTTTTATTATCATAGAAGTCGGATTGCATTTTATTTATTTTTTACAGATTAAAATTGATCTACCAGAATTTACAATCGAAATATCGATTTTAAAATCAGGTCTAAAATTTGGCTGGCAAAGAATTAAATCATCCACTGCGGAAACTACAAATATCTAAAAGAAAAGTTAAATAAAATTGACGATTAATTAACAATTGTAAAAATCTTTATTCAAAGGAGATATTCCAGTTATTTGGCTTTAAAATACAATAATTAATTTATATATTATCAATATGAACTATTTTTATTAATTGATTTAAAATACAAAACATTTTTCTTTTGGAATTATCAGCCGCAACACAGGAGCAATGTCAAACGAATTTCGTCTTTCTGTTTAAAATTATAATATATTAATAATATGAATTATAAATATATCAATGTTAATTATTACAGTTTGAAGCCAAATAACCTTTAAATAAAGTCTTCTGTAATTGATAAATAATTATCGGCTTTGATTAATTTTTCTCTTAATATTCGCAGTTGCTTCACTCTCCTTTAAATAAAAAAACATCAAAAATATGCAATAAAACTTATTTTAAATAGCGTTCTATGGTTACATGTGTTGTGAGAATGTATGACTATCGCTTGGTATGTGAAATAAAAGATTACCATTACTCCAATAATATCGTTCATATTTATCTCATGTTCCCTACATGAAAAAAACGATTTTGAATTATCTATAAATTCAGTTAGATATCTACAGAGAGAGATCACAGGAAGTCATTTTGTTGGACTATCTAAATTACATAGCAATTTTAAGCATGACAAGCAATGCTGCAAAAAGTTTTGACATTCTACCAACCAGTTTGAGCGTCCTGCATAATTATTTCAATCTATAAAAATCTATATGTAGCTGAACTTTTAGATATTTCAGTAAAAACTATCCTTTCTATATACTCTTCCCTACTCAAGTTATTCGTTTACGAAATATGTGATTTTTGTTACTTCAATTCGATTTTCGTGAGGTCTCTTCAGTAATATCAAACATTAAAGATTTGCACAAGATTCTGCAGAATTACGCTTTTATGCGTAATTTGAATCCGCTCGTGACATTGTGGAGTTGACAAATTCGTACATAATACGTCTACATACATCGACCGTGGAAAAATTTTCCGTATCATATATCCCGTCACCGAAATCCATATTTTTGTAGAATAAGCTTCTTATCTGCGGACACCGTGGACTACAAATTCCTTCGAGTCTACTGCGAGCGAGAAAAATGCCTGATTTATCGCGCTGCCGAAATTGTCTGAGCTTTCCAGCAAGGAAATCTTCCAAAGAGAACCATCGCCTCGTTGTGCAACAGCAATCATGCAAGATATGTGATGCATATTTTATAAAGGAATTTACTTCGCGAGTAGCTCTTTCGTCGCTTGATCGCATGAGCTGTATGTAGCAATAATTTAGTACATGCAAACGTTTCATTTATGCATCTTTCAGACAGTTTGACTGCTCGAAGGTAAGTAAGATTTCAATTATCATTATAATTTGCAGGTGTGTGCGCTCATATGTCATTTAATTACAATCCTACTCAAATTACTGTCCTAGTCAAAACTGATTGTGAGTGAAGAAGGCAAAGATATATACATGGAAAGAACGGTTTTGCTGAAGTATATCTAAAAACTCAGCTAGATACAGATGTCTGAAAATAATTTTGTTAAAATAGTTAGTAGAACGTTTAAACATGTTGCAAAAAGTTTTAACATTCTAACAACTAGTTTAAACCTCTTATATAATTATTTTGATGATCTAAAACAATATAATTTTCAGACTTGTACCTAGCTTTAGACAGTTCAGCAAAACCATTCTTTCCGTGCATACATGAGAATTAGATAAATATTCGGACGTACGTACTCGAATAGTGATCTTCCGATCAAACATTTACTTATTCGCAACTGTCATACGACTCATACATCATCGTGTCTAGTTAGGAGTATTATTCGTTCGCGACCGTCTTCGTCGAAGCATTGACATCACACCCACATAATACGGTCGACATACACGTGCTTGTCCATCGTTAAATTGATCGTCCTTAAAAATAGTCGGAAATCCTAGCGCCAACGGTTAAAGGCTACTTCCACCCTCGTTCTTATCCCTTCTCTCGTGTTTCTTCGACGGGATTGTGAATCGCAGCAAAAATAAATCCCTACTTTCGTATTCCGCTCGCGTGGACCATGCAAAGTCGGCGCCTCGTACGGATACATGTACATATATACGTATGCAAGTACCGCGTAATAACGCGATGGAATCACGGTGGGATCGCATGAGGAAGGCGCGACCCGCGACTACGATCGCAAGGAGCAACTTTGATGTGAAAGAGTCGCCGACCTAATCTTAAATAATGTCGAACGATTAAATTCGCAACGCTGGGTGTGTTTAGGCAATGCAATCGATCTTGACCAATAAGTCCATCTACTGGTATTAGATGATATAAATTCAAGAAAAGAACGGTTTGCTGAAATATCTAAAAATTTGGCTAGATATCTAAAAATAATTTGGTTTTGATCATTAAAATAATTATGTAAGTCGTTTAAACTGATTACTATAACATTAAAACTATACATTAAAACTATAACATTAAAACTGTTTGCAACATTGGCTGCGTTCAACAGAGAAAACTAATCAGCTAGAGCTTAGTACGTGATCCTTTAATATGATTGATTCCTACACTTAGAGCCAGCAAAGAACTAAAAGGAAAACCAATCATATTAAAGAACCTCGAAAATCACCAAGCGCTAACTGATTAATTTTTTCTGCTGAACGCAGCAAATACCATCAATGTTCAAGCGTTCTACATAATTATTTTGATTAAACAAGATTATACTTTGATCCAACAAAAATTATTTTCAGATCTGTATCTAGCTAAATGTTGAGACATTTCAGCAAAACGATTCTTTCTGTGTAAGTCGTTCGAAATGAACGCGAATGCATGGCATTTTTCGAATATCTATAGCAAAGATGCTACAGCATTAAAATCGATCCGCACTCGGCGCTCTTGCTTTCGTGTTATCGTACTATCTCGCCTAATGATTCTGGCGAGAGGAAAGCAGTTCTTCTTTTTCTTATCCCTTTTCAGAAAAATATGATACTTACCGGAAAAAATGGAAGCAATGGCTGCGATAATGAATGAGAAGACGACACCAGGTCCGGCAACGCTGCGCGCCACCATTCCTGCGACAAGGTACATCCCTGTCCCGACGCAGGAGCCAACTCCTAAAGACGTCAGGTCCAGAGTCGTCAGGCACTTCTACAAATAGTAATCATTTCGAAAATGTAGAAAAGCTGTATGTTTAAATAATAATACGGCAGACAAAATTTTTTAATAAAATTAAACCGTACGACTAATATTTCAATAACGGGAAGAATTTATCTACCATTTACACGACTTTTAATGACTTTTTGATGAGCTTTTATGTTTTATGTTTTGAGTGTTAAATTAATGCATTAACTTTTAATACTTAAAATCATATACAAAAGTGAAAACGTTTCGACTTAACACAGAGTCTCTATCAATTCATAAATTAATAATAAGAAAAAAATAATAATAATGCAAGTTTTTACATATTAAAGAAATAATATATTTGAAAAAGTCATGTTAAAACTAGACTATCAATTCAATAATATGACATAAAAGTCGTGAAGATATCTGTGTATGATTTTAAATATTAAAATTTTTAATATTAAAAGTTAGTGTATTAAAATTTAACACTCAATTGCTCGATTTTGATCATTTTTATATAGTATTTTTGCAAATTAACGAGCCTACCGTCTATTTTTTTTTAATTTAATATGTTGTAGTCTAAATAAATAAAAGACATGTAGTTTTTGTTACGTGCTCCTTATTTTCATTTAGACTACAAATTTAAAACTCATCCAAATCGGAGGAAACCATTTCCTTATGTTTTTTGTAAATAGATTATTATCTCATCTCTCTCTCTCTGTACGCTAAAAGAATCCCTTTAAGAAACCCTTTTTGAAACAAATATTTATTTCAATTACGTTAGTATTAAATTGCACTTTGCAACACGTTAATCTATTTCCACAGACTAGAGATGGAAATATATTATTCGTTATTTTATCCGAAACAATTAACCTAAATAAAAAATAATTCCGGAGAGTGATTTATTTTGGTATTACATCGAAATTGTTTTTCTTTACAATCAAAATAATTGACCTAAATTGTTTGGAACATCGTTTTTTATTTTATGTACCTGGCAAATTCCTATATTTTATTTTGTCCAGGTCACGTCCTTCTTTAAAAATCGGTGAATTGTGGAAAGATGTTTGACATCGCACAACCATTATCTTCAATCGTAAATCGTAACACCAGTTTAAATACGTAACGATACAGTAAATGATGCAGCGATCAGGGACAGAAAAGAGCGAGAAATGTGATCTCGTGTTACTGCCATTTCACAAAAGGATATGACAGGGATCTTTCTACGGTGTTCTGCAGCCGTATGCATCTTTCAAGTTAGAGTAGATACAATTGAGGCTTCTAGTCGACTTCTTTCTAGAATGTCAGTGCCATTTTTGCAACTCGCCTCCGATAGTTATTAATAAACGCAAAGTCTCCGGGGGAGATTCTTTCTCACATCGGCTATTGGAGTTTCTAAAATGCTTGGCACGGATAAAAATAAAGTAATCGCAAAGAGTTATTCCCGGTGGGCACGCATAGTTACTTAACATTACTTTATAGTGCGAATCTTGTCCGACTTTAAATGGTAGGTACTCTTTTATACTGACAAAAAAAAATTGTTCATTTGACTAAATTAATTTAGTTTGTCTTTATTTCTTTCATCGGAGAATGTATTTGAGTCAAATATAATATATTTAATTTAAATACATATATTCTCCAAATAAATTAAATTAATTTAATCAAACAAACAATTTTTTTCTCAGTGTTTATAATTCAGAAATATCTCGAGTGTTCAAGTCAAATAAGTCGAATGATAAGTAAAATAGATAGATCGGATTTATCTATTTTGTGTGTAATCGAATGTATAAATTGTATATATCCATTTTATAATTAACCGTCGCCTTAATATGTCTGCGAATTGGAGTTAACTAGTCACGCGGATTTTATAAAGCTTCTCGTATTTGTTGCATCGGAGAATCTCGGAGAATAATGCCACGATAACGATGCCTATCCGCTTACTCAAGTTGCGATTGCATAAGTAGAATAGCGATTTTGCGTACGCAGCAAAACGAGTGCCAAGAACTGCAAATCAACCGACTTATTTTGCTCAACAAAATATTTGATAAAAACAAATAATAACAAACTTAAATTTTTAATGCTTTATAACAGAAAATCACATTGAAATATTCTTTACCGTCAAATGGATTTTAACATTTTGACTGCCATGTCATCCATGATGACTAATGTGACCGACATGATGTCTCGATTTGGAAGGACAGTCTCGGTTTTGGAATGCTTGTTCCAACAAACACGTCAAATGTCCCAATTACATTGCGAGCAAAATACCACCACGAAAAATATTTTATAAATTTTTCCAAATTGTAAAATCATATAGAAATATATTACCGCTTTCAGAGAAAGTAATACAGTAATTAAATGAGTTTTTGTATAACAAACGAAGTGTGGGCAGCGGAAAAACTTTGAGTTTATATTTTAAATGCGAAATCAATAAAAATTAATTAATTTTGATGGTTTTAATTAACATGAATTTTATACATTTCTTAAGGATTCATCTTCCTTAAACAAATAATTTAAACAAATGATAAGTATAAATAATGACATTATTTTGAAAAATAAATTGCTATTATTATATTTATTTTTTTTATATTTACACACACACACACACACACACAAACATCTTCCCTCCTGCTTAACAAAGTCTCGATCCGAAAATATCTGATTATTCATGATGCTAATATGAGTGACGCGTAAAATTTTCAAAAGTCCCATTAAAATGATTGTATTAATTATAAGTATTTAAGATATTAAAGAAACAAATGTAAGTTACATATTAAGATTATAAAAAATTAAGGTAAAGTATTAAAATAATATCTGTTATAAGCTCAATGCCAAAATCAAAATTGGCAGTGTAAAATGTTAATGCACGATTAATGAAGTGTTAATAATGTATATTTAAAACTTCTAGGTAGACTTTGTTTTGGCATTGCATAAAATAATTTTAATAATTTTGCTGGATTGAAATGCCGTTATTTGAATTGTAATTTGACAATAAACCTACGCTTTCATTACTATACATATAATAAGTAACAGAAATCACATGCAATGTATCAGATCGCAATTAAGATTATCAATGTAAATTAATGAAGATTATTAATTATATGTACATAAATATATTTAATATATTTTTAATATATTTTTAAAGTAATATATTTCCTTTTTAGACTTTTTAAATCATAGATTAATTATTTTGCTCTCTCTTTCTCTCTCTCTCTTTCTCTTTCTCTCTCTCTCTCTCTCTCTCTCTCAAAATAAATTTTTAAATCTAGCATTCATTTTTAAAAAAATAAATTTTTTTTCTTTGTTTCGATATTTGTTTAATTTAACTTGTTATTATTCCTTTTCAAATTTTCATGTTCTATGAGAAGAGTAAAATTACGTGATTTAAATAAATAAAAAATCAAACTAATAAAATTGAATTAAATCGTATGCTGCGTATTGTGCACAATCTGGCGATTTACATAGTGAGAATAGAACTCGGGGCAATAGAGGATGGAAATTATAAACTTTATCTTTTGATATTTATTCACAATCATTGATTCACTATAATGCCATTTAAATTCACTGTATATTTTGCAAAGCTATGCTTTGGATTCTTCATTGATGCGAAAACAGTTCGCTTATTACCATAGTAAACGTAAGTCATCAGGTCGAGTCAGCAAAAAATCAATGACGTATCGACTATTCGTTAAAGATTCATTTAGTACAAAGAATGGGAACATTCGGCAGTTCCTCCTTTTATCCAAACTTTGGTTGCAAGATTCTGTGTTCCCGCTCTTAATTTTTAACGGCTTACAGTTTTGCAACCCTATTATAGAACAGGCATAAGTCGTTGGCTGATAAAAA